AGTTTAAGTAGGCTATTATACTTTTTTTAAGAGGCCTTTACTTTACAGCAAGTATAGCAACATAATACATATTAGCGTACAGTATAGAACATGCGGGGCTAGTAGTACTCTCTCTATAGTAGGTTAAAAGTCTTTCCTCTGCCTAGGTGTCCTTTAATAGGCAAGTTATGTATAATTTAGAGTAGTTTAATTCTTAGTTTATTAAAATTAAAAATTATAAGTTAGTTATAGTAATATAGCTTACTATTTTAGTTTTTATAGTTAGCTAGTGTTACCTTCTTTAACTAACTAGCGCTGTTTTAGAGCAGGTCTAAAGTTTTTTAGATAAATTTATTATTTAAATACTTATTAGTAATAATTTAATTAATTATCTAATTTATTTTATTTAAGTTAAGGTCTAAAAATAGCTTAGGTTAAAGTAAAGTTTAGTGTTAAGCCTTTTACACTTTTTTCTAAGTAAAAATGTTTTAGGATTACTTTATAAAAGCATTTAGTTTCCTTCTATTTTAACTAAAATAATAAGTAATCTTAAAACTAAAATAAAATAAGTATTTAAACTAATAAGCTTATTAGTAGCTAAGTTATTTTATAGTTATAAAGTACTACAAGTTTTTATAGTTAGATAGAACCTGTATTAGATGCGCTGCACTTTCTAGTTTAGGTTGCTATTATTTAAAGTAGTGTACTATAGTAAGTAATTTCTTGTTATAGATCTTATAATTACCTTTTATAAAGCTTATTTTTTTTAAAAGTATATAATAGGCTTAATAGTCCTGTCTAGCTTAGTCTAGAAGAGAACTCCTGCTACTATGTAGTCTAAGGCATTAGCTTCTATAAGTATTAGTAGTTTAAAGTTAAAGTAGTAAAGTATTAAAGCTTTAGTAAAGGCTTTTTTTAGCTAGTTAAAAGACTATTAGTAATTTAAGTTAAAGTTAAATTAAATCTTTTTTTTAGTAAGTGTAATTATAAGGCTTACTAGCTATAAAAAGTTGTTAATAAATTATTAGTAAAAGTTAGCAAATTTTATAAAAGCTTAAATGTTTTTTATGTCTTTTAAGTATTACTAATCTAGCATAGTCTAAACCTTAATAGGGTTTATTTAAATGCTATCTATAAAGATTACATATCTTAAATATATAACCTTTAATTAGTAGAACTTATATTTATCTATGTTAAGTTACAGACCTGCTTCTTTTATAGCTTTTAGCACTAGGCGTACATGCTGTTTATGCTCTAAAAGGCTATTACTATAGATTAGAATATTATTAATATATATAATACAGAACATGTTTAGGTAGGGTTAGAGTAAGTTGTTTATAAAATGTTAAAAAGTACTAGGCGTGTTAGCTAAGCTAAAAGGCATTACTAAGTACTTAAATAGTCTGTATTAGGTTTAAAATGCTATTAGCTACTTATCACCCTTTACTATTCTTAGCTTATTAAAAGTAGTAATAATATTTAACTTTATAAAATACTTTACTTTACTTAGTTAGCTTAAAGTTTTTTATAAAAAAGAAATTAAGTATTAGTTTTTAATAGTAATAGTATTTAGTTCTTAGTAGTTAACATAGAATTAAAGCCTACCCTAAGGTTTTTTTATTAATAGTATAAATAACACTACTAGTAAAAAGCTAGCTTAAATAAACCTTTTTTTTAAATTCTTGTTAAGGTATTTTTAAAGCACTTTTAATTTATTTAGTAACATTTTATATAGTAGCTTATAACTAGGTTATTTACTAGGCTTAAAAGTTATTTAGTAATTATATAAATGTTATATTAAAAGCTTATTAGACTTATTTTAGAAAAAGATATATAATAAGTTATAGTAGTCTTAAAGAACTATTATTTTTAAGTTAGTGTGTTTTTAGAGAGCTAAAGCTTAGTCTATATTAGAAATTATAACTATGTAGATTTTATAATCTAGTTGTTAAGCTAGAGTTATAAATAAAGTAGGTTTTATATAGTAGATGTTTATTTGCTATTTAAGTTCTAGTTTATATCTAAATTAAGTAGGTAATAATTTTTTAAAAGCTTTTTTTTTTTAAGTTTAAGCAGTTGTTAAATTATTTTATATAGCCTATTTTAGTAAAAGGCCTAGCTTATTAGCCTAGCTTAAGTAGTTTTTTTTAAGGTATTAAAAAGTAAGTCTAGAGACCTTCTATATTAAGTGCTACTTAGGTGTTATTTAGGTGTAAGTGTAAGCATATGTCTTAGCATTAAAAAAAGTTAAAGTTTAGAGCTTACTTTTAGTAATTAAAAGCAACCTTATGCTAATATAGCTATAGTTATTCTAAAATTAGGTTATAACATTTTATGTTTATTATATAGAGCTTAATCTGCTTTTTATAGTGTTAGTAAGTAATTATAATAGTTATAGTATAAAAAATAAAACTTTTTTTAAGTTATTTTTTATTAAATCTAGTTAAGTAAATTATTTAAGTAAGTAGTATTAATTAAAGATTTAGTTTATATACTAGTTTTTTATTAATATAACCTATGCTATTTACTTCTAAGTTAATAAGAGCTTATATTAAAGCTAATATAGTTTTTTATTATAAATATATAAGAATATTAACTTAGTACTTTTAGTTATTAGTAGGGGACTTAGCTTATAAGTTAGTAAAGATCTAGTATTAAATTAGTCTTAGAGAGTAACTTAGCCTTAGAACAAGCCTTTTTACAGGCTTCTACTGCTATAGCTGCAGCTATGTTAAAAGTAGCAAAAAAGATTAGGGCTTAAATATAAAATAAAACTTTTATAAAAATAAAATTAAAATAGTAAAAATCTTTAATAAGTGCTAGCAGCACTACTTATGTAAACTTAAAAAAAGAGAATAAAGCAGTTTTAAAAAATATAACTATATTTACTATACTTAAAGTATTAACTTTTTTTTTATAATTTTTACACTTTTTAAAACTAACTAAAGCATAATTTAAATTAATTTTTATTATGTTAGAGTTTTTATTTATAACTACACTAGTTTAGAGGTGTATTAGGGCTTATATAGAAAGAAACCTTATGTTATTATTATAAGTAGTAATTAGGTTTACATACATGTTAAGGTTATTTAAAAGAGGTTCTTCTACTATAGCGTGTTATAGTTTAGTTAAGAGGGAGTTATATAAGGCTATAATTAAACTTACCTTATTTAGGCCTATATTAGATGTAAGTTAGTAGAACTTAATAAAGTGTAAAGTAAAGCTTTTTTTTATTTATTATAAAGTGTTTAGGTAACTTAAGGCTATTAACTTTTTATTTAAGTCTTTATAAGTTACTTATAAAAACACTATAAATTAATCTAAGTTAATAATATTTTTATTTATTAGTAAGTTAATTAAGGCTATTATATTATAGTTAAGTTAAAAGTAGGCATATAGTAACTAAGAGCATTTAAAAGAGAATTAGTCTATATTTTCTTTAAGTTTATATTAGAGCTTATATAAAAAAAAAGTAAGTCTTTTTATTTTTTATTAAATAGTAAAGGATTAGAGAGTTAGTTAGATTTTATTACTAAGTTAAAAAAGTTACAGGTTATAGGCAGCATTAAATAGAAAAGAGTTAAGCTATCTTTAGACTTCTAGGTAAGCTTTAAAGCTAGTAGGTTCTTAGTTTTTACTACTATAATAAAAGTTAAAGCAGAAATAAACTACTTAATAATATAAAGCTGTTTTTTAAAGTCCTTTTAAAAAGCTTTTAAGTTTATAATATAGTAGCTTTTTTATAAAGTAAGTGCTTTTTAGAAAGCTTTTTAGCTTACTTTAATAGCTTAAAGTTATATAAGTACTAAGCTTATTAAATTAAATTTAAAGGCTATTCTTAGCTAAAGTTTTAACATAATGTAATGTTATAATTATGCATAAGTAAGGTTATAGAGCTTTATAGAAGTCTAGTTTAATTATTATGTAAGGTATTATAGTATGTATAAGATATTATATAAAAAATAAAAAAGTTTAAAAGGAAATTAGTAATTAAATACTTAGCTTAAAAGTCTAAGTGCTTTAGGTATAAATTAAGCCTATTTTAAGTTTAGTTAGTGTTAAGGTAGTTTATGCTTAAGTTTATGTCTATGTTATGTTGTGTTTATGTTAGACGTGCACTAATAATACTCTAGTACGCGTCTAATACGGTTATGTCTGGGATCCGGGGAGGATACCGTGACAAGTAGGGTCTTAGCAAAAGTAAGCAACTTAGGTGTGTAAGCAACTTGCCTGTGAAGTACGTTATAGAAAAAGGTTGCTTTTAGCAGTATACTAGCTTATGTAAGCAATTTAAATGCAAATATAAGAGAGTAAGTAGAATAGATAGCATTAAAAGTAGGGGTTTAAAAGGATAAAAGTGCATGGTTAGAGACACAAATTGCTGCTAGGCCTTGCTTGTTAGGATTTGTGATTATATACAAAGCACAGGTCATGTGACCTCTAAACAGGTCAGGTGAGGCCATACAGGCCTGTTCTAGGACATCCGACCTTATACAAGGTGTGAAAATTTAGTTAAAGTAGACTGTTTGCTTGTATGGACTGCTTGCCTGCGAAATACGTTATAGTTAAATTTATAAAAGTGGCAGTTTTAGGCAGGAAAACCAAGTAGTAAGGGAATTTCGGGAATTGCACATTGCGCGCTAACAGAAGATGCTGATTCATTGTCCTAACAAATAGTGTTGCGTTTGCCAAAAGGTCAACCTACCAGCTAGCACAACAGAAGGATATATATAGACGGATAGCTGTATGCGACAAATAGTGACTTGGCTTGTTGACAGCTTTATATCGGGCCCAGGACCTGGAGAGGAAGAGATTTTCGTCCTCGGCAGAACCTATGCGTAGGTTATCTTACAATGTTGCTGTGTGGAGCAATTTTAAGCGCTTTATGGGAATTAAGTGCCACCGATGATTTTTGAGGAAGCGGATAGATGACGCGTCGTGCAGTTGACCTATTTGCGTGACACAGCAAACAGGCCGGAGTAGCGGAGCCTTAGATTCAAATACTAAACGAAGTTCCTGTTGAGGATATTGCGCGCTAGTTTATCTACATTTCCTGTAGCAAAATTGGAGATATTTCCAAATCCAGATTCCAGAGTTGTCATCATTTAACTTATTCTACATAATACCCAATTTAACAATTCGGCGATCCCTTTAGTTTCAATGATAAACTGCTTCGAAACCCCCTGCACTTTCAGTCACCTAATTTCTCACTAAGGGTTTCTAATCTCCCTTTCACCACGATCTCAGCCAGATCGCCGATACTAGTGGCCGAATCAAGTAGCTTCATGAAGGAGATCGTACACTTGTAAGTACTTATGAACCAATTCCGCAGCTCAGCGGCAATCAAGCTATCCATCCCATACTCCGCAATACCCTTGGTGGATTGAATTCCAGCTGCGGATATGAACAGCATGTCCGCCATGCGCCTAACGATCACTTCCGTGACTGAAGAAACGGCGTCTTCTAGTTTGCCGGACTCAATAAGAGGATCCAGTTGTAAAAGTGCAGAGCAGGAACGCTTGCTTGATTCCGTAGGGGTATTCGTTGTTGCAGGTAGGCTTCCGTCTAAGTTATCAAGATTGTCCATCGCTTGGACTATGTGCGAGAATCTAGCATTGAGGTGCCACCACGGGTTGGATGAGGGCTCATCATTCTGGTCAGTCTTCTCTTTGCGTTGTGCCTTTTCGTGTTGCGACAACCTGGAGGGATCTAAAGAAGTGATCAAATGCGCATCAGCAAAAGGGTCGTATCGAGCCCATTCTCTTTCATGCCTCTGGCAATTTAGCTTTGAGAATGCGTATTCGAGGTGCTGCAGAAACTCAAATTCACTCGTATGATAAAGTCCATTGCGCAACGCAGCATTTCGGTACACCGTGTTCTGCCCCAGCTCTCCCACTTCTTCTATCAAGCCGAACTCCACGGATGTTCCTGGTAATCCCTGGCTTCGACGGTACCTTGCAAATTCATTTTGGAAACCATTAGAAGCACAGTAAGTAGACTGTGTAGGTAGGGCGACTTGAGCGGAAATAGAGCTGAGCAAGACGAAGAAATCGAGGGGCAGATGTAGTGATGCGTTGTGAAGGTTGATGGTGCCATTCACTTTGACTGCGAGGCCACGTTCCCATTCGGAGAATGAAAGAGAGTCGAAAATTTTGTCCTACGTTCCATGTCAGAGATATAGACTCGGTGCTACTTAACTCGAACGTTGCACTAACCTGAAGTGATACTGCTGTGTGAACGATACCGTTGACAACTCCAGACTCGGAGGCTTGAGCGATGGCAGATTCCACCTGAATTTTGTCAGATATATCACAACATATGTGTTTTATGCAACAGCCCCTAGATATCACATCGGCCAAGAAGGAGTTCTTTTCCGAGGTTTCCGGGCTAGACCTTGACAAGATGATAAAATTCTTTGCTCCTCTCTCTATCATCCAGGATAAAATGCTTCTTCCCAGCCCCCCGAGCCCCCCTGCCAGTATATAATTCGAGTCCGCATTGAAGAGCACTTTAGTAGTTGGTGGTACCATCTATCCATGGTTATCAAAAAGCTGAGAGGTGAGATTTACCAGCTTACATTGACCTGGGCTGCTGAGTCTTCATAAGTAATAACAACCTTTCCAATATGATTTCCCATGGAAAGATAAGTCAACGCGGGAGCTAACTGAGAGACATCAAAAGTCCTAATCGGTGATATTGGTTGTATGACACCATCGCGCAACATGTTGTTAACCTGTCCAAGAAGCCTGGCGATAATTAACTTCTATCTATGGAATGATATGGCAGCCAGATAACTCACCTGCCGCAGAATTCTGGTTTGTCCTCAATTAGGACACCCAGGTCGAAAGACGAGAATGTTGCGTTGCGTCTGAAAGCCTCCAAAGACATGGAGCCATGATTTTGCACATCAACGCGTCCCAGATCGATGAAACGGCCTCCAGATGCCATATATCGCAGTGTTTCGTTGAAAACGTCGCCCGATGTAGTACTCAATATAACGTCAAACCCAGAACCTTGGGTTGCTTTCATTACTGTAGCAACATCCGGTGGAGTTTTGGAAGAGAAGATATGTGAATCCGGTATGCAGTATGATTCTCGGAGAAAAGCGCGTTTCGCTTCAGTTCCGACAGTAGCAAATATTTCAGCCTTGAGGTGCCTGGCGAAGCGAATCGCTGCAATACCAACTCCTCCAGCGGCCGATTGAATCAACACCTTATCTCTCTTTGTTAGATGGGCGAGGTAGTTGAATGCATAGAGTACAGTCATATAGACTACTGGCAGGGTTGCTCCTTCCGCAAAATTGTCTGACTGCATATGTTGCGTGAGAGTGTCATAAAGTCGCATATAGTTGCCGAACTTGCCCTTTGAGATTCCGTAGACTCTATCACCGACTTGGAACGCCCTGACAGATTTGCCCAATTTCGTGACGATACCAGCACACTCCGAGCTGAAGTTGTCCAAGTCGAGCCGCCCTGCAGATACAGCCAAATCCTAGATCATGTTATCTCGATGTCTTACGTCAATCATTTATCACCTCACTTACCTTCCAGTTTAAACCAACAGCAACTGTGCGAATTTCGATCTGATCGTCTTTCAATGGCTTCCAGAAGGCTTTATCCTCTTCGAAACATATTGAACTGAGAATGCCAGGAGTCTGAAAGGAGACGCCTAGTGGAGGTTGGTCTTCAATTGGCAGGAATTTTGGATCCGAGGAAGTTTGAGACTCTAACCAGCGCTCGTTGAACTCGCAATCAGGTATCAGTCTACTTAAGTGAATAACGCCGCCAAGAACTCTATACTCTGTGTCCCGAACGGCATCATTGGACCTTCTTTGTAGATTATCTTCGAGACGCGCGATTTGCTCCATCAACTCAGAGCTCTCTAGATCTCTTTTGCTCAGGTTAACGCTGGCATAGACAATAGAGCTGGTTTCGGCAGAAAGAACTCTGAGGAGTCCATCCGTCACTCCGTGATACGGGTACGATCCATTAACCTCATCCTGAACACTGATCCAGAGTACTGAGCGTGATTTTGTAAGGATCTTCTTGATCTGTTCGAATCTCTTTCGGTTATTAATCAACCATGGGCCTTCTCCAGAGAAAACGATCACCCTTGAGTCATCGGGAAGATAACCAAAATCATCAATGAAGTGGTACGTCGAGTAGGAAAACAGCTCGTTTGCGCGTCTTTGGAATGCTCTTATATCAGAGCGAGAATCTGGGCCTAGGTACGAGATTACGCTAACAACTGACTGGCTCGGCAATGACGAAGGAATTTCACGAGCAACCCTCGAGGTCTCATGACCAATTGCTGTTGTGAGAAATGCGGAAATCATCGTGTACGGTTGTGCATAGTCGCTAAGATCGATTTCGATTCCGGAGAATCCTGTTCGTAGGAGCCTTTCATGCCACCCATTCGTAGGTAAAAATGGACTATCAGTACGGCTGTTCCCCGTCCCAACCCAATAGTCTGGTAGCGTCCCCAGAACTAGCCCGTGGGTGATCTTCGGTTGAGTGCACTCCAAGATAAGCAGCTTCCCTCCGGGCTTTAGTAAGGATCGGGCATTTCGCAGCGTGAGATCGACATCTCTTGTAACGTGTAAAGAGCATGAAGCAATGACCAAATCGTAGACAGGTTGAAAACCTTGGCTTGACGGATCCTGTTCAATGTCCAATACACCAAAAATAAGCTTATGACATTTCGAGAACTCGGTCTGAGCATCTAAGAAGTAGCCACTCGACACATCTGTGAAAGTGTATGCGCGATACCGTCGAAGGTAAGTCTCAGCGTCGAGCTTTTTAAGAGCAACACGAGATGCTCCACCAGTGCCCGCCCCAATCTCTAGGATATTCATGTGGGGATTCCTGTGCGCCAGGAGTTCGATGAGGTGCGCTAATTGGACATACGCTGCGGATATTCCGAAGCCAGCATTGTACATTTTGGAATGTAACTCATCCTGGCGGACCAGCTCGAGTCCTGATTTATGCCCTGAAAGAATATCGTGGAGATTGTCGAAGATGCGTTTAGAGATGGGAATCTCGACAACATCATGGAGCTTAGAACATAATTCATCGATTATCTGGGCGGGACTTGAGCTCGATGACAACGTATCTTGCCCAGTTTCCGTTAATTCCCGCCGTGCAGCCATTGTGGCCCAGGTAAGAAATTTGTGGAGATGATCAGGGAGTTTGCGTTTATCCAGCTGCGAACCGTATCGACAGGCAATTTCTTTGACCATGAGGCTGCCCAAGCGGTCGATATCCTCGAAAGTGCTTTTGATACTATCGCTTGCGGATGTTGGTGGAAACATCGATCGCGCTTGCTGTTTGCTCAAATTTTCCAAACAAGGTTTCCAGATAAGACGCATGTATGGTGTTTGAGGATGGCCCATCACGGCTTTTTTCCTTTTGCCTCCAGAATACGCTGTACAGTGGATGTCCGCAATATTGACGAGGACATTTCCAGTTGAGCTCCTCAATTGAACCTGGGCATGAGCTCCTCGCAAACCGTGACGTTCTCCTCGTGCGACAGCGATACCATAGGAAGCATCTTGGACTTCCGGTACCCAGAGTGTCATTTCTCCAACGAAAGAGGGCACATAGGCTGTGCTCATTTGCTCGACTTGGCCCCCATGTGCTGCGATGAGCGCTAGTTGAGCACACATGTCCAGTGAAGCCGGGTGGACAAAATATGGAGACTCGGGTCCATTGAAAAGTGCAGCTGTAGTTTGAAGCTGAACCTTCGCTTGCGCAACATTTTTAAGTGGGTCGGCTTTCATTTCAGATAGGCCTTGGAAACTCGCACCATACTTCAGACCAACTTCACTCAGCTTGTCGTACCATCCTGAATTGCTTAAAACCCGGGTGTCCATAACGCTAGGTATGGTAGGTGAATCTATGGTCCCATATGTAGCTTAGCGATTAACAAGCGGAACGAGCTCATGCGATAACTTACCATACTTTGCTGTATGCGGTATAATGATTCCTGAACAATGTTCTGTCCATGTGTCGGTCCTTGAAGCCACGGAGCTGATCTTGAAGGTGTACCAAGTTGAGGTTTTCTTGGAGATAGCAAGTTTGGATGCATCCAGATCCAAGATCACTTCAATACCAATATCATCATCTGGAATGGCCATTACCGAAATAAGGGATAGATTTCGGATCGTGAAGCCAACCGGCATGACCGTTGTATTTTCATCGGAGAAAAATTGTGCAGCCGCTTCAATTGCCATGCAGATATACCCTGAGGCAGGGAACACTGTCTGCTGAAGGAGCTGTTCAATGCAATCAGCAAAACTCTACAATAAAGGAAATAGAAAGGTGTTAGTTACCCTGTGATGGCTGAGCCAAGGGATATCTTTTATTCGAAGCATATTACGCCAACTCGGTCGAAGTTTGGAACATCCTAGTTGCTTAGCTCCTAGTATATCATGGCAAAGGTGACTTCGGAGTCGAAATTCTCGGTGAAAGCGATTTTCATGATATAATACTGGGCCATAGCAGTAAGAGTATTTTGGGAGGTCAACACACACAGACCCATGAAGATACCGCAGCCCTTCTTCGTCCACTTGGTCGATGGCATTAACAATGGTAAGATCAATTGCCGCATCCATGCAGAACAGATTCCCACATAGAGAGAGCATGTTTCGCAGACCATCTTCCTGCCTTCTCAGTGTGGAGAAGTAGAAGTCAGACGCACTTCTTCCCATTCCTGACCAGATTTGATGCAATGGTGTCTTTAGAGCCGAATGGGGTCCAACTTCAACCAGAATATCGACACGGTGTGCGGGAGAGGACAGCATATCCTCTACAGCGCGCGTAAACTGGACTGGTGATTGTAAATTCTGTCGCCAATACGAAGGACTTACGGGGATCTTGTTAGTCTTCATGCCTGGTATAGTGGATGAAAACCAGCTGGCTTGGGGATAGCGGTCCTCTAAACAGAGCAGGTCCCGTTCACGTAATTCCTTCAAAGCCTTGCAGAGAACCTCTTCATAGTGCTGACCAACCACAGCCATGTGATGGGAATGGTATGCGTTCCGTCCAGTCTGCAGGAACCTACTGAATACTCCTTTAACCCGAAGTGTTTCGAATAGCTCCATGACCGAGTCTGTATCTCCCGAAATAGTAACGCTTTGTGGGGAATTGATAGCTGCAACCTTGACGCTAAGCCTAAAATCATCAAGATAAGATTCGATATCGCCATATCCAAGCTCGACGGCTAGCATGAGGCCGCTTCTCTTGTTAGTATCAACCGCGAGTCCGCGACAATAAGCAATTGTGATTGCCTCCGCTGCAGTGACGAATCCAGCTGAATATGCGGCTGCAATCTCACCTTGTACGATGTCAGCTAATGTTATCTATTCAGTCAGCACTCCTGATTACCTGAAGAATGACCGACAGCTGCGACACTCTGAACTTTCCAGGAGGAAAGAAGGTCGATGAGTCCAATCTGAAGAGCAGTACACACTGTCTGTGAAATTAAAGGTTCATGCAACTTTCCTGGAAGGTTTGTGGACAGGATATCTGAACATTAATTAGCTTTTGTTTCCTGAGTTGAGGCAGAACCTACCCTTGAGGGTCCAGGATGGCCGATTAGTCAAGTTTGAAAGTATTAAGTCTTGATACTCAATCGAGTTGCGGAAGACCTCGTACTCGAACAAATGGGCTCCCATACCGTCCCACTGAGCTCCTTGTCCTATATAATTGATGCATAAGTAGGTTTCTGTAAATATGTAAATGAAACAGCGACTTACCGGTGAAAATAAAACCAATATTGGGTCTCTGCGCAGTTACCTGAATAGTGGGAACAGGAGTCTTCATATCTAAACTCGTGAAAGATTTCTCAGGCTTAACAATTCGGTAAGTGCGATTTTTGAACTTAGAACGTCTAGCAGTCAATGTATAGGCCAAATCTGCTAGTCGGTACTCATTTATGACGCTAGAAATGGCTTGCATGTTCCCACTAAGTGCATTGGGTTCATGAGCTGAGAATGGCAGTAGAACCAGACGTCTAGTGCTCGTGTGGGATCCACGTACTAATGATGATGAGCGCCTCCAACGATAATCCAAGGGCATTTCAAGAGAACATTTGGTGCTTGGTGTTGAAGCATCATGTGTTTGTTGATGATTTGCTCCGTTCACTTGACCACAACTTGGGGTGAATTTATCCGTGAAACCGTTACGAGGGTGAGAACAGAGTGTCTTGCGGGTCCCACCTTTGAAGTAGTCCGGCAGTGCGACGGAAACGTCGTCCAGAATACAGTGGCCGTTTGCCCCCCCGTATCCAAATGAATTTATACTAACCCTACGAAGCTTATCCTTTGGCCAGGGCTCCAATTTAGTTACAGGTCTTACCCGCGCCTCGTTGAAGTTGACTATGTTTAATGTTAATGAATGTCGTTTAGTAAGAATATAGATATATCCTACTTCGGGGGTTAAGCTCGTTGATGTTAATGGTTGAGGGTATCAGTCCAGTCTCTAAGGCAAGGACACTTTTCATTAATCCAGCCATGCCACTCGCGGCTTCCGTATGTCCAATGTTGGACTTAATCTATAATCGTCGTTACCACCGTGCCAGAAATAACGAGGGAGGATAGAGAGAAACTAACTGAGCCGATTCCAAGTATGCTCACGTTCGTTTCAGTTGAAAACACTCGCCCAATGGCAGAAACTTCAATCGGATCACCAACCTGGGTTCCGGTTCTGTGGGTTAAATTAGTACCACATATTACGTGAGATATCACTGCCTTACCCATGCGCTTCGAAGTAACCAGTCATTCTAGGCTCCAGATTGGCATTTGCGTATGCTTCACGGATCACTGCCTCTTGGCTCTCGGTACTAGGGTGAGTGATTCCAGCAGTGCGACCATTTCTGAACCCAATACTTAGCATACTTCGAGGAAGGCGTTGGGTTACCTACGAATTCACTGCAGTACCCCGTATCACTGCCCGAATTGGATATGAGCCTGCCACGGCATCTGATGTTTTCTTTAAATAGAACGCGGCAAACCCTTCGCCTCGGGCATAACCATCTGCGGTCGAATCAAATGTATGGCAAGTTGAAGTCGGCGATAGAGCACCCAATTTCGAAAGCAGGAGGTGTAAATCAGGTCCCAAAATGATATTGCCAGCTCCAACAATTGCAGAATCGCAGTCTCCATTCTTAATCGCATTAACAGCGAAATGAAGGGCGTATAGTGAAGAAGAACAGGCAGTATCGAGCGTTAGACTAGACTCAACCCGTCAGCCACACTACGCATTGGTGAATCGAGTATGAGGTACCTCGGGCCACGCAAGTTGAATAAATAGTTGATGCGATTACTCAGAATACTATTACTACCCCCAGTTATGGCGTATTGTAGCGGGTTGTCGGAATCGCGGCTTTGCATGAGGTTGTGGTCAGCTGTAAAGTTCCCAACAAACACACCCGTTCGGGAGCCGGAGAACTTCTCCCAGGGTTCTCCAGCATTTTCGAAAGCCTCAAAGACTACTTCCAACAATTTTCTGTGTGATGGGTCCAAAGTGAGCGTCTCCGTGGGAGTTACACTAAATAATGCGTAGTCAAACAGTTTCGGATCCTCTTGAAGGAGATATGCACCTCGAGTAGGTACACTACCCGGGCGTTGGGGATTTGGGTGGTAGAACCCAGGAAGGTGCATCCTTTGATCATTGAACTCCTGGTATCCAGATCTCTCTTCTGCTAGCATATCCCACAGTTGGGTTGGAGTGGATACACCACCAGGCCACCGACATCCTGAATCAAGTGAGTTTCGAGACCAAAATGCTCATATACTAGAGGGCAAAAGCTTACCCATTCCGACGATAGCCACGGAATTTGAGGGCCCGTATTCATTTTCAGGCGCAGGAGCTTCAACATGATTGGACATATTCATGAGGAAAATTGACGATATACGAAGGGATTGAAAACACGAGATAACTCTGCTGAGGGTTTGGGAGGCAGGATGTAGAGTAATCATACACAAAACGCTCACCCTGATTACCGCCATTAAAATCAGTAGGCAATCATGGGTACGGGGCGACAGATACAGCTCTTGCTCTTGGGACGGGAGGATCCGGAAAAGGGGTCCGTGCGTCACAGTTATGCCTGGTACGCCGTTCTATGAAAAGAGGCAAAATGCGAATCCGTAAAAGGTGCACGAATCAAAAGCCAGTTATTATCCGTAGGGTCCAAACAAGGGACGAGCAGACCCTTGTGATGATTCTTCCAATGTATTAACAGCTAGGCTGCACGTATTAATCTAGGCATTGGGGCGTCGTACATGAAGGATTTTTGATGGCGCCGCCAAAGAGTATCATTGTTAGGAGCAGTCAGGCATACAACGTATGGATGTGGCACGAGAAAGGCAAATGAAGGACGAGGGCGGAAGAGCAAGGAGGTGGTGGAACCTTAAGTGTGAACACTCCAGCGACAGTTTAGGTAAATGCGGATGACAAAGTGAATCCATCCGTATCCCACTACATTCGTCCCGAGGTTGGCAGCACCGGCTCACATCCCTCACCAAGACTGCATCACCAATCCACCGGGAAAAGCAAATGGAAGAGTTTTTATTAGAACTAAGACATTCCTTACCCATGCGAGCTCGATGTTTCCAGCCATTCATACTGCTACTCAACCCCCCTTTGTGGCGTCCGAGTCCTTTATCATTTGCACTTCCAGCAACCCCATACTACCTGTTCCATAAACCCGCACAATCTCTAGGCACGGATCAGCCTGGTGCAGAAGATCCTGGAATTCGGCCTGGGTCCGTTGTTTGGCCCCCAGTGCTACCATAACAAGCATGTCGACTTGCCTAAGAGAATGCTCTTCATATCGACTCAGGGTTCCAGGCTCAGGCAAGATGGTCTCATTGATCAGTAGGGGCGTATTTGGGTTGCACTTCTCAAGCGCGGGGACAACCGCCTTCAAGATACGGACGCAGTCATCGTCATTCCAGTTGTGCAGTACCTGCCTGATGAAATATGCGCCGGCGTTCAACTGGGGCTGGGTCTGGAAGAAGTCATGCTTCATGAACGTGACTCTACTCCCGATATCACTCAGATTCTGTCCCTTCCCCTGGGCCAGCAGATCCTCGGACCCATCTTGTACAATAAATTCCAATTGCGGATACAGCTACACCAGCCAATTTTAGTTGAGATATTTGACGAATCAGACATTATAGAAAACTTACTCGGGCGAGCCAGATGCTAGCATGACCGCTTGCACCGCCGATGTCAACGATTTTGCCTCCTTCAAACTTCTCCCAAGGAAACCCGCCTTTAAGCTCATGGACTTGGCGATCAACTATGTGAAAACATTAGAGTAACATCCCTTGAGATGATAGAGCTGTTTGGAACTGACGCTTTGCTATTCCCTTCAAAGCTTTTCCAAAGCGAGCCACTGATTTGGGATTCTGCTGGTAGTATTGGAACAAAGGTACACCAAACCGCGTTTGGAACGGGGAGTGCATATTGTCAGACAGGTAAGGAGAGCTACGGATCCCTTCGCTAGCTTCAGAAGCTGCTTTGAAAAACTCATCTAACCTGTACACCCCACGTTTCAGTCATCATGTCCGTCACCGGGATTTCGGTTGGAGACTCACTGATAGTGCGCTGCAGCATAAATTTCGGAGTCCTTCGCGAACAACACCGAAAACGAGTTATGCCCGAAGAATCCAGGCTCGGTCTCTGTGAAAACCCGATGGGTGGTCAGAAATCGCATGATCCTTCCGACTCGATCCTCATCAACCTTCACTGCCTCAGCAAGCTGCGGGATGGTGACGACTCCAGAAAAGGGCACATTGTTGAAGAAGTCCAACTCAAATGCTACTTGGAATGCTGCCAAATCGTGATGGTAACAGAACAATGACCGGAAATGTGCTTTTGGCCCATTCACGAGTAGAAGAAGGTCATTTGCTGCATCATTGAGCGATGCACGAGCAGCTGTGTACTCCGGAGTATCTGGGACTTCAATTGAGGTCTTCTCAAAACTTGGCTCTGGTCGTCCGCTGAGACGCAATTGATTTTCTATGTCTTCAGCGTGGTGCTTGATCTTAGAAACCAGTTTCAGCAGGTTCGAATGGGAATCGGCCGATACCATATCGTCGGAGTTTTCTTCGATACAAATTTGGGCATGAGCGGCTTCGAGTGATCAAAAATATCCAATGAAACGAGGTGTGAAAGCTCGTATGCGTTTGGAAAGTCCTCTGTCTATTGCAACTCGCCTGAGAGCTTTTATCCTTGCGAGTGCCCCGTCCTAAACTTCTCTCGGACAATGTATTATTCGGTCGGGATTATTTATCCAGCTCCGAGAACAGACTTCCTTGTCTGTCTGCCTTGTTTGCCTCTTCCGTTATGTTTCTATGACCTTCTCTGCATGAGCACCCATGCGGCACTTACGATAGAGCCTGCGCTGCACAGCACAGGCACCAGCTGAAAATTACAGATGTTTAGTGGCATAAGTTTCACTCTCACTTCTCTCACAGTCACATAACCCAATTCTAAAAGCCTACATACATTTGGCATATTGTGGAGCTATCCGGAAAGAGTCAGTATGGCAGCTTTTAATTCATGCATAATATTGATGAGGTTTGTTTTTCATCTTTTTCATGTTATCTTAAATTATTTTTTTGGCTTTGGAGGCTATGTATTATACGTATGCGTCTTCACTGTCCGATTGTCCATCTCTCTGAAATACTATGGCTGAAACGACTCAATTTCCACTCCTGACGGATCTTTCCGACTAGCAGTGAATTGAATGATAATTCTGCCCCACTTTGGTCTGGGGAGTTCCACAATATAATCTTTCACATACATGGGCCATGATTTCTGAGTAGTGATTGCCATGGTTGGGCTTTCTCTTTTTTCGAACAAATCCAACTCATCCAATTGAATCAAGGATGTCACACAGGAGTCTTGGGAGCTGCACGGGCAGGCAAAGGAGGGGTAGCAAAGAGCACAGAGATCATAATGAAGAGACCACGTATCACGTGTATAATAACATGCTCAGTCCTTTAGTGCTGGTGCCTCGCATTTATTAGGGATCTGCGCTCATTCCTATCTAGGAATGATATAGGCAACGCCAGGTCAGTCTGGATCCAACAGACTACGCCGAGACCAAGCCATTGTAATCACTGTTTCAGAGCAACCTCATCACCCTCCCGAAGCCCGCTGTCATTCTTAGGTGAAGAGTAGAAACCAAACTGGGTCTGGCCTAGGCGCTTACGACCGATTAGGTACGAATGATACCCACTCTGGACCTTTTCCTGGATGACGAGTAGAGGTGGGGAAACGAGCGGAAGACAGGCACTAATAATACCGAGGTAGAGTTCTAGTTCTCCCCATATACCTGCGACCTCGCCATCATGAGTGAAATCTGCTTGATCCGTTTCGAGTACATATTTAAAGCGGAGTCCCACAAGGAGACAGATGCTGAAATACATTAGCAGTGTAATCCTCAGCAAGGAGCCAAAAGATATCTGACAATATTCCGAGCCCAAACATGCCCGTGACCAGGACTTTCTTCGTCTTAGAGAGGCTCTGCATTTTCCACACGATGGGCGCTGGCATGATGACAAGAGTAACGTCGATAAATAAGTTGATGGATCCAGAAGTGAGGAATCCCATACTTGGATTGAGGCACTTCCCGCCTGGAATTGTCCTATCCCAATTATAGGCAATTGGTTTACATTGGATCAGATTTCCGGCCGTGAATGCGATGAAGTACAGAACACAGAAACCTATCATAAAATGGACGAGGATTATGAATCGTCTCATGCATCTGAATAGAGAGCGATAAAGAAACAATATCGAAAGCTTTGTGGGCGTCACGATTGCGAGCCAGAGGAAGAATCCAGCATATGTGATCTACAACTCATCAGCGATTAACGCAAGCAATGGGAGGCTTGGGGCGCTCATACCTTGCGTACTGGGACGATGATTGAAGGCTCTGAGGCTACGAGATCTTGGTAGTGGACTCCGACCCCCCATCTTGCAGCTGCGCTTTGTTTAGCATATTGAACTAAGATTTCCTAAGGTTGCTTGGTGTTGACCGGTGCATGTGATAAACGTACCGATGATCTTTCGAATCATATCGGATAATGCGAGAAGCTGGAAATTATGTCAGATCATGAGCGAGAAACGTAGATACGAAAACCGTATACACACCCACGCTAAAATGATCAGATAGTCACTTATATCAAGTGACGACCGTTTCAACCGCCTAGCCCATATGCGCAACAGGATGAAAACGAGATCCACGACCGTGAAAACAACCGCGATGATCACGTTTACTCTTCCCAGGGGGTTTGGTGGTATAGCCATTTTGTCCAAATGTACCTCAGTCATGAGTCTCGGTTTGGGAGCGAAAATAAGCTACTTGGTCGTTAAGACACAAGGTTGTGAGCAACAGCGTGCGGCAGCTGGGAAGGATGAACGAAAAAAGTTTAAAACAAGTTTAAAACAAGCCATGCCAAGCATATCACCCAAAATTGTTACTACGGCGCAGTACAGGTAAAAATAACCCCTCCTTCAATTCGGAATCCGACAAATCCTTGTTTCATCGAATGGGGCCTTCACGTCGATTAACATGTGTTGTCATTGATATGTCTGCAAGGGGATGCATCCTGTGCACGCACGGATGCCAGCTCGAGCATTGGTACGGTGCTACAACATATACATCCCTTGACCGGTTCTACAACTTAACAGCAATGTAAGACAGTTTGCATCTAATATTTTTCGTATATTAGGAAGGAGCTTACGGAGTCCGAGGAAAGCAACGTTACGGAATTGCATCAGGCACCCATTTCTGCATCTAAAAAGCTCAACGGCATAGAGGGTGTGTTAAACGAGCTGTGATTGATGAGACATGATATAGTGATAGTGGGTAATTTATTCTTAGTAGATAAGAGTCCATTATACCGAAAGAGGCGTTAAGTCTTCAATTACATATCCCATGTATTATATGTCCCCACCTGGGATTCTAAGAATTCGTAACGTTATCGAACATGACATTTGGACACTCTTTCTTCAGGACCTCGATTGTTTCTGCCCATAGTTTCTTCTGAACTGCTTTCCCTTGAGAAGATAACACGAATTTCGATGGTCTTCCCGATATTAGTTAATGGGAAATAAAATGGGGGTATTTCAAACACATACGGAGTGATCTTCTGCTCTTGAATATATGCCCCATGCGATTCATCTTTCTTGGTCACAGCAGCATCAAGAAGAAAGTATGCACCTTGCTCAGACGACCATGCGAGCAACTTAGCGAGGATTTTGAATCCTTGTGAATGATCATGACGATGAAGTTGGGTGGCGCAAAAGCCCGGGTTTGTCCCATTAATGATGACTTCCGCAGCGTCGATCCTAGATGCCAGTTCGCGGAACCAGAATACGTTTAGAAGCTTTGAAGTGTAGTACCTTTCCATACCGTTTGTGAAAGACTCTTTTCGGTCCATGCGCTCGAGGATTTTGGGAGCGGACTTTTCATTGAACGGGGTCCAGAAGTGTACTTCAGATGAGGAGAATGTGAGCCGTGATGGAATCCCGTTCTTTTTTGAGCTTTTTCGAAGGGTTGGGAGAAGTAGGAGAGAGAGGAGAGCTGTTCCGAGATGATTCACTTGCAGGTTGCTTTCGTGGCCGTATGGTGAAGTAGTGAACTTCAACTGCTTAATCGCTGCGTTCATAATCGCAATATCCAGGCGGTCGAGAGACTTAGCTCGATCAGCAAAGGAAACGATGCTGTCGAATGATTCAAGGTCGAGTTGCCAAACTTTGATGTTGCATTTTGGATTGGATTTTTGGATATCAGCCTGTGCAGCGTCGCCCTTGGTAGTGTCTCGGACTCCTAGTATAAGATGAGAAATTCCATGAGACGTTAACTGGCGTGCGCTCTCTAAACCTATTCCGACATTAGACCCAGTAACAATAGCAGTCTGGTTGTCGAAACGAATATCAGCGGGAAGAGGTTTCGGCTTGAAGGTGATCTGATTGACGATAAATCCGAGTTGGCCACCCATGACTTGACGTGGATGTGGTTCGAACGTAGATGCTAGGCGTTTGGGTCGTAGGAAGTTTTAAAGATTGGAAGAACGGCCGATGAGCTCGAGGCTAAGTTGTGTGCGACGCAACTCAACAAACTAGTTGGCAAACTGCACAGTCCAGGCAAACAATACAGCAGAGGACCCGCCCGTGTGGAGCTTTAACCGGCTACCAACGCTCGATGATGTCGAGGCTGTGCCGCAGGCGAACTGCCATCAGGCGATGTCGTGGACCTTGGCACCCTTGTCTATGGTTTGCTGGGTTTCATTTCTAGTTTAGCCTACCTTAGCTGACAATAATTCCGACAGACTGGTTCAAAGGACTTAGAAGGCGAATTCTTCCAACATAGGGAGCGGCTCATGGACTAGCTCCATTAATCTATTTTACTATTAATGTGGGCTACTTCAGTAACACCGTCTAGAACAATAACCTGATCATGGTGTCCTTCGATTCGCGGAATACAGCTTAAAGCCCCCGGGAACTTGGTGCTGGAACATCTGCTCGGGATCGTATCTTTTCCCAATAGCCTGCATTTTGTTAAGAGTCTCCACCCCATAGCTTCTAAAAACATTTTGAGAATGGTAAGCGTCGTTTAAGAATATAAAAGGATCATAGAGATTTCTTTCTTTAGTAATACCATCGATCTGGTCAAGAGTGTCCATTAGTATGCTACCGACGGCTTCGTCGTCAGATTTGAAATTCCACCCTATGTTAATGCAGAACCCTGTAAAGTAGATTAGAATCGTGACATGAGAGTGGTGCGAGCAACACTTACACATTTGTTCACGATCCTGCGGGATCATAGGATTCTCACCCCTTTCTCGGGAGGCCTTGATCATTGACTTCGATATCGGCTGAGGCATCAGAACCATGGTACCTCCATTGACTGTTGAAAGTCTCTCTGCCGCAATTTGGGATATTCTAGCAGCATCTACGTAGGTTTCATTGTCAAGGAAGAAAGTTGTGGCACCGAAGGTCCACCTGGAGGGTAGAAGATCAGCGCCCCAAAGAGCCAAGAAAAGAAGGAGAAGAGAAGCGAGATATAAAACGAACCTTGGAACAACTCGATCAACTTGTTCTGCTAATATGTCACCGAATTTATCGTAAAAACGAGTAGTATCAACTACGCTTGGTATGTCGTAAAATGGCTTGAAGGCCTGGGGGCGTCGTACCGCGTCCAAGTAGACTAAACTCACATACGCCGTATTATTATTAATCCCAAGATAAGCGAGAAGAGCTGATTTTGTATCGAGTTGTCCGGAATGCTGGTAGATCGTCAAGGCTTCCATGAGTTGATCACGATACTCGTTGGTATAAACTAGGGTTCCTCCCCAAGCCTTGCTAAGGGGATAGGTCCTCAATGTCACATGAGTCGTGATACCTAGTCAAATCTTTCATGTTAGAAATGGAAGTTGAGCTTTTTGATGGGCTGGGTTTATTATGAAGCTGGGGATCACACTAACCGTAGTTATTTGCCCCAGCCTTGAGTGCATAGAATAGATCTTGATGCGAGTCTGCCGAAGCCATAACGATAGTAGCGTTTGCTAATACCAGTTCGTATGAAACTACATTGTCCGAAGCAAATCCGTAGGCATTCGAAAGATGGGATAGCCCGCCTGTGATAGGTACGAGGTCAGTGCTTTGGTCGCGTTTCGCCTTTCAAATGAAAATGGCAGTACATACCACCCATGATCATGCCCATTCCTACGGTAGAAGCCCGACCGCCAACCACAAGACGCGAATGAAGCTCGACAAATTGATAGACCTCCATCCAGGTGCAGCCAAACCCTACACGCACTGTCTCGGTAGCAGGGTCATAGACCTTGTCGGAGATAGCTCTCATGGAGATGAGGACCCCATTGTCGATGTTTGCCCACGCTGACAGGGGTGAGTGTCCGCCACCTCGCACTGCGAATTTCGACTTGGTTGACTGAAGAATTTTTATAGCATGTACGACATCGTCGATGCTCTGTGGTGAATATATGCATGTCGGCGTCTTCCATGCTGTCTGTGACCTGATCTCATATTAGCAGGCTCCACTAAAAGATTATGGACTGACTTTCCAGTGAGCCTCTTGCTGCGTTGTGTAAGCATCACCATCACTTGCGAATAATGTGGCGTTACTCTGGTATCTTTCCAGAAGCGAACATGCGTTCTGGCAAGCCTGCTGTGCCGTGAGTAAAGATCGAATGGGGACGGTGGCCACAATTAGCAGAAAAGCGGGGAAAAAGAAAATATTGCGCATTGTGAAGAAAGTATTAGCATGTGATTTCGATATTTCTTCACCAACCCCCGTTGTCGTCGCCAACACTTCTATATAACACTCTCGGAGGCTTTGATATCATATTTGCCTGTCAGGATCAGCTTCTATGCTCCTCCATGCGGGTGTCACATCTCATGGAGCGGGGACCGGAATGTGTTAGCCCCTTTCCTTCTCGGAGATCATGAGAATCTAATGATTTCAATCCTGAACACAGGGGTCGATCTCAGGGTTGGAAAGTATTCCTGTGCTGGGTATGAGGCAGGGTTCATCGTAAGGTAACGCCGGTCAAAAGGCCCTTGCCAAGCCGGGGCGGACCGTCGTCAAAAGTTCAGCGCATATGCATTGGAGCCCGAGCTTCGACCCGGGACGCAGCCACTTCGAAATAACTTGACATTAGCTGGATCAATCCTTGCAAATACCGCTTTATTGTTTGGGGGCCGAGAGCTGGACCTTTACGCCGAACCAACCCCGTACACGTGTAAGAACAAACCACTTCACGTTAGGATCTCCGTTCAGCTTTGTAGTGTAAAATCCGATTCACCTCAAAACACCGTAGAAATGAGTGCAGTCAAGACTTTATTGATGGTTGTTGGTCTTTATCTAGCATACTGGACTGTCCGAGCAATTTATCGCATCTATTTTCACCCACTTTCTCGATACCCAGGCTCAAAGATCGCCGCTGCATCCTCTGCTTGGTACGAATGGTACTGGAATTTCCATCGAACCGGTGAACTTCTTTTCGAAATTGAACGACAACATCAAAGGCATGGACCTGTTATCCGTATAGGACCTGAAGACCTGCATGTCAACGATCCCGAAATCTTCCAAGATGTCACAAGAGTTGGGTCCAGGTTTCTCAAAGATGCAAAATTCTACAACTTTATCACATTTCCAGGCACTTCTATTGGAGAGACAGACCCAGTTGCCCACCGAATCAGACGTCAAGTACTCACACCAGCATTTTCGCCAAATCGTGTTCAGGAACTGGCTCCTTTCGTGAAGAAACAAGCTGACAAGCTTATGTCGCGTTTTAAAGTATTCGCGACATCTTCAACGCCTGTCAATTTCAATGCAGCCTCCAAAGCATTCACAATGGATGTAATATCGAAGATCCTGTTCGGTCAGGAAGTTGGATGCCTCGACGAAAAAGATTTTCGGAATGACTTTGTACGGTACATTCGTGAAGCATTTGAGATGGGTTGGACTGCTACAGCGTTCCCTACCCTTACCAAATTCTCGCTCTCTATTCCAGTTTGGATATCAAAGAAGATATTCCCAATCCCAATCATGATATTCAAAGAGGTTAGTGTATGCGATGTTGCTGGGGAGGATTAGGCTGATACCGCGACATAGAAATGTATGGATCTTGTGGATAGCTACCTTGAGCGTCGAAATAACAGTAGCCCTGAGTCATTCCCTGAAGACACAATGTCCGTGGTGATTGACATGGTTATTGATCCAGCGGCCGCGAAAGGACATATAGTCCCAACCTCGGATCAATTAAGCGAAGAGATCATCATGCTCCTTTCTGCTGGGAATGACACTACTTCAGATGCGCTTATAATTGGCATATACCAAATTTGCCGCCATCCGGAAGTCCTTGGACGGCTCGAGGACGAATTGACGAAAGCATTCCCAAATATCGAAGATACTGACGCAATTAACTACGAAAACACAAAGGATCTTTCATTTTTAGTAAAGAGCCTAGATCATGTATCATATTCACTTGGCTGACCACCATATTCATAGAATGCTGTAATAAAGGAAATTCTGAGGATCAGCAATCCCTTGCCTGGCCGCTTACCACGAGTTGTACCTCACGATGGCTATAAAATGTACGAACATCACGTCCCCGCTGGAGTAAGCTGAAATTCCTTCTCAAAACCTAAACTTATGCATACTAAACTATACAGACCGCGCTCAACTTCTCTATTCATCTCCTCAATCGCCATCCCGACATATGGTCCAACCCCACGCACTTTAATCCTGACCGATGGCTCCAACCCGACTCCACCAAGCTAGATAAGCACATGGCAACATTTTACAATGGGACGCGACAATGCCTAGGCAAGCAGTAAGTGTCTCCTGGAAGCAGAGAACCTAAAATAGCTAACTTCAAACCTCTTCAGCCTAGCGTGGTGCGAAATGTACATCATTATAGCCAATCTATTTCGTAGATTCCATCTCACCATTCATGACACAACGGATGCCGACATGGCGTGGGTTGACTTGTTGTTGGTTCAGTAAGTACTTAGTCAAGAACGTAAGGAAAGTCTTCTAATTACTGACTCCTTATACAGTTTCCAAGGGAAACCGTTCCAGTTGTTATTAATGCAGAAGGAAAGCTAAGAATTCGACATGGAATGTTAACAGCGATGGTACAAGCTGGAACCTCACTCTCGGAGATCCGAGGTTCGGCAGCATTCGGGGCGTTGCTAACAGGGCTTCCAACGAGGCGTAGTACTGTACGATTGGGCGATTTTGAGGCCTGTACAGGTGAGATTTTGGGTACGTTCGTACGACAGGGAGGAGGAGAGGTAGGTGTACGTATTATAATTGTTACAGCTCACGTGATCTGTACAAGTAGTATAATTTAATTAAAGTACACTGTACTCTAGTTAAAACAGCTAAGATTATAAGTCTCTAAAGACATAAAATTAAGGTCTAATTAACTATAAAATAACTAATTCTTTCTAGTAATAAGAGTAAAGAGGTCTAAAAGCTTGCTTCTTACTACCTTATACTATAGCTAGTTTTTTTTTAGAGTTAAATAGCCTTAATTATTAGTTACTATATAACTAGCTGCGCTAAAACACTTCTTACACTTATAACTAGTAGTTAGCTAGAATAGTAAGAAAATTAAAAGTAATTTTAAAGAGAATAAGATTGTCAGATTAAAGCACTGTTTCTGGGCTTCCTGAGATGAATGATGGGTTTGGATATGATGTATGGGATGATTAATTGATTGTATTAATTATGTTTATTTATTAATCCTTTTTCTGCTCTACTTGTGTTGCTCGGCTTTTTGTTTTGCCGATCCGAGTCCCTCGCGCACTTGCCCTATGCGCGACCAGCCTGCAAAATGCTGCAATTTGCTGCAACATGCTGCAAAATGCTGCAATTTGCAGCAACATACTGTTTAAGCTTATTGCTTGTACTATGTAGCAGCTTTTGTCAAGCGTTCCTCCTGTCTTGACAGTAGGTGCGCAAATCTGACACACCCCCTCAGCTTGGACATGCTTTAAGCTGGTTCCTAATTGCGCAACCTTAGTATGCTTCTAGGGCTTCTATTCTTACTTTAATCTCTTCTATATCCGCTTCCTAACTAACTATCCTCTCCCTAACATTAACTAGCTAAATTTGCTAAAGAAAGCTTAGCTATTTGCTAACTAGAAGCGCTTTAGTAAGTCTGTCTACAAGCATCTTGCTAGAGGGGACATAGACAACCTTAATTATTTGTTAAGAGACTTCCTGTTAGAGCTAGTAGTTATAGATGTTAACATGTTAGAGCTTAGTTTAAAGTTAAGATATCTCTTTATTTACTAGTTAGATTATCTGCTTATTATTGCACTAGATTATAATAGTTAAATTAGGCAGCTTAACTTATAGTTTATTAAGAAGCATTCTTATAAACATAGCTTCCTTAGCAACTTAGAACAGTGTAAGTAATTCTGCTTTTGTTATTAATGTTATAACTATATCTTATTTATTTACTTACTATGCAATCTATCTGCTAAATAGTTAAATAATATAGCCCTAAAAGCTCTTTTTATTTAGTGTATTATCTATAAATAACATATTGCTTACTACTATAAGGTAGTCTTCTCCTCCTAATTAGAGTGCGTACGTCTGTGTCGCATGTAGGTACAGGATAACTTAATTAGCTGCATCCTAATAGTTAGATGCAGGATTTGTAAGAAACTGTGCAAGGCGTGATGTAGTAAAGGCAATGTCTAGTCTTATAGTAACTGCTGCAAAGAGCAGAGATCTAATCTTCTGCTAATATTAATTTACTTCTAATAGGGTTATAAAACTAGATTGCGGCATAAGTTTAATTCTACTTATAGGTGTAGCGTGCTACAGGTCTTTTCTATTAGCTAGCCTAGCTATCTTATTAATATATAAGGCTTATAATAGCTAAATTATTTATTACTATTAATCTCTAATAATCTTAACTCTTAAGAACTATTATAGGTCCTTGCCTTTTATTAGAGTATACTTCTCTTATAACTAGTCTACTACATGCTGTGCATCTGCTTTAGAGCCTTTTCTGTACACAATAATAAGGTTGTCTACATAGAAAAAGACAAATATTTTAGCTTTAGTTATGTAGTAAAGTTTATATAGAACAGCTAAAAACCTAAAGCCTTTAAAAGTTATTATAAAATAGTGTTACTAGAGTAGAGAAAAAATTTATAAGCTATATAGTGCTTTTTAAAGCTTTAGTAATATACCTAGTTTCTAATAGCCTCTTAGCATCTGCATATAGATATTGCGGTTAATTACTGCATGTATAAACGCGTTAGTTATATTATATTATTTAAGCTTTAAGTTAAAGCGTGCAGATATTACTATTAGCATTTAAAATAAGCGTTCTGCTAGAGTAGCAGTATAGGTGTTTTATGTAGTAATGTTTTTTTATTAATTACTGTAGACTACTAGTTACGCCTTACATCTTTATAATCTGTAGTGCTTGTTAAGCTTGTAGGTGTACACCTACATATAATCTAGAATCTGCTGTCTAGCTGCCTTAATTAGCTTTATCTAGACTTTTATCTAGAATTTTATTATCTAATAACTATCTAGGTGTGTTCTTTCTGCTACCTTAAATATTTTATATAAAGAGTGCTTCTTTAGTTACTTTTAGGTTAATAGTAAAAGTAGCAGCTAGCTTTTATAAAGTGTTTTCCTTTTAAATAGTATTTTTATTAATGCTACTTTATTTAGTGTTTTGCTGCTATGCTTTTTTACACTTTTAAATTTTATGCTAGCTATAAAGGCTATAGCTTATAGTATAGTCTTTAATAACCTTATTTAGCTTAGCTTTAGTGCTACTCTAGCTATTAACTGCATAAGTAATGCTATAGGTAGTAGAGTATTTAGAGAAGATAAATAGTTATCTCTAATCTTTCTTTCTTAATAGTAGCCTAGTAGGTCTACTTTATTAAAATTTAATATATTGTCTATAGTGTTATTTTTATAAAATAACTCTATCTCTAGCTAATAACTAGGTGTTAAAAGCTTAATTATTCTAATATATATAGTAATTTTTTTTATAGTGTTGTGCATAAAGTTATTTATTAGGTCTTTAGGCTTACTGCTAAAGATTAAGTATTTATTAAAAATAACATTATATATATAAATTACTTTTACTAGCAGTAGTATTTATACGCAGTAGATGTTTAATAATTAGTACCTAACTAGATATCTAATCTATGCCTTTAAGTTTAGCCTCTATAGCTTAGATTTATTCTAATGTGTGTTATTAGTTATTATAAATGCTTTATAGCTATAAGCTTTTAAATGTGTAAAGCTTAGCTTTTAAATTAATGTAATAACTTTATTATTTAGAGCTACTTATGTAAAGAAGATCTTATATAGTGTCTTCTAGTTATTAGCATAGTTTAGCGTCTAATTATATAGGTATACGCTAGCTCTAGTAATGTATGGCTATACATTCTATAGTAGGTTAGTATCTAGTTGCATAGCCTATAACTTCTTTTTATTTACACCTTTTAAGCGTTTAGCTCCTCTGTTCTAGGCTTGTGTATCTAGTGCTAAAGGCTTAATAGTTATTCTATGTAATGCTAGCTAGCATTTTACCTCTAGTTTTACTATTATAATCTTATTGTTAGCTTTAATAACTTTTATAGTAATCTTATAATAGTTCTTTAAAAAAAGAATAAAGATTATAAGAGCTTTAATAATTAATTTAGTAGGCTTATTATTTTAAAGTAGAGGTCCTACTAGAGGCTAGAATACTTATTAGTAATTAGCATTTAACTTTACTCTTTTATAATGCTCTATGCTTTGTATGCATAGAAATTAATTAATAGTCTTTTACTAAGTCTACTGTTGCTAATTTATAGTGTATAGCTAATTTATTGTTGTATCTTAGCTCTGCTACATAAGTTACATTAGACTATTATAATTCCTTTAATTTACACCCCCTTAGCTTACTATACAAGGTGTTAAAGTGTAGCTAGTCTAAGGTGTCCTAGACACTTATGCTATAGCTCTACTAATGCCTTTTATAGACTATGTTTAGTTCTTGTGTTAATTATGTGTGTATAATATAAGCCCTTCTATAGTAGATAGTACTCTAACACCTATTAGCAATAGATCTCTATAAAATCTCTAATTATTGTCCTGTCTAAGGCCTTTAAAGCAGTTAGCTCTGCTTATGTGTCCCACTAGATTCCTTTCTGTTGCAGTAGGCAGAACAAGACTAGGTTGCACAGCAGGTCTAGGCACAGTGCAGCGTTATGTAGTACAAGACTGTATGCTTAACTGTGTGTTCTATGCTTACTCTTTAGGCTTAGTGTAATTAATCTATAGCTTTAAATCTATATGTAAGAGTTTCTAGACTAGATAAAGTCTTCTAGTGTTAGTAAACAATAGTTATAGATCTAATTAGAATTATTTATAATGTAGCATGTTAAGCCTAAGTTAAGGATAAATAATTCTCTTAGCAGATATCTGTTCTAGTTTAAATTAACTATAGCTAGTAATGCAGCTGCCTTAACTCTTAATACTTCTTAGCTTTTAAGTTAGTCTTCTTGTATCTCTAGCGTAGGTGTATGTAAACTCTTTAGGATTAGTATCCTTAAATTATGTCTGCGCTGCCCTCTTAGTAGGCCTTAAA